ATTAGAAGCTCATGCCACACTCTTGAAGACCAAGCCTTTTCTGACACTTTTTGTTCACATGAAAAAACTGTTTTTTTGCTAGAAAATTACTTTGAACCCCCAAACATTATATATTTTTTTTAAAAAGCAGAGACTCTAGAGAATAAAACGGTGGGTGTTGAAAAATTTCTTACATCACACAGTATTTGCGCAGCGATTTTTCAAATGCAAATCCTTTGGGAAAACTATACTTTTTAGAATTTTAATGCACAAAAACACAATATATTGCCCAATTGTTTGATAAAGTATAAAGATGATGTTACACACGAGTAAATAGATACTAAATGTGACATGCTTTAAAATTGCGCATGCCCGTGCAATGGCAACAAAGTACATACATTTTTTATTTTTCGATAGGCGACGCTTCAAAAGCCTTTACAGGTCACCAATTTATATTTACACAGGATGTCTAGTGCTAGCATTACTGCCCTCGATCTGACGTTCACGGGGATACCTCACATGCATGGTGCAACTGCTGTTTACATACCATCACGGGGTCAAACGCTTGCGCACGCAGGTGTGCACACGCAGTGGGGCCAGGATGCTTTTTTTTTTTTAAATCGCTTAAATATCCCCTTTGACTGCAATAGGCATTGACAGGTATTCTTTTTTGAGAAATCTGGTCTCTGATCAGTTCTATAGTCAGCCAGAGGATCTGCTGGCTGCATTCTCAGATTCCCCTGTGGGACAGGAGAGCCCAAGAAAACTGTGGAAGGCAGCAGAGGGGGGGGGGGGGGAGTTGTCCCCTCCCGCTGCTCGTAAAAACAATTCAATAGCTAATTGGCCACTAGGATTGCTTTTAAATGAAGGCCAGCTGAAAAAAACGATACCAGGATGATGCCTGTAGCTGCAGGCATCATCCCGGTATAACCACTCAAAGTCCAGGGACTTACCAGCACATTGCTGGTCCATGTTGGGCATATATGTAACAGCAGAGAACATGGGCATACAATGAGTCGGGTCTGTGGACCAATATGACTGCAATTACATTCAACATGGGCATTACAAAAAAGAATGAAGTCCCAAAAAAGTTTTAAAATTCAGAAACTGATTTCCATTGGAATTGTCTGGCAAGGGCTGAATTTGGGTGGGTGGCGATGTATTGTTGTGCTTATAAAATTGCCTTGGCCCACAATCAATTAGTACAAATCTTCTGTGAAAACAGTGGAGGGGCTAAACGCTAATGCTTGCAGCGAATGGGGCTGATCCTGCTAACACTTTGTTTTTGTGGACACTATACAAAGGAGGCACTAGTATAGTTCTGTTCATGATCAATATATTGATTCATACAAACACTAAACTAGTAATGGCGGTGATCAGTGACCTATAGCGTAAGTGTGATAGTGTGCAGGAAATCTAACGCTAGCTGACCCTAGCTGGGAGGGGCACTTACTGACCCTATCTTATGTTGCTAGTGGCAGGAATACAGTGATCAGTGAAAAATTTTATATATACTGACACTGTACTAATGGCACTGGCTGGGTGACGGGGCAATCAAAGGGTTAATAGGGGCGATCAAGGGTTAAATGTTCTAATCTAACGTGTGTAAAATGTAGTGCTTTTACTCGGTGCCGTGTTCTCTCTTCTCTGCCTGGACCAAGCGGGGGGCGCAAGTGCATTTACACCCCAAAAACAGGAAGCGATGCAAGATTACGTTGCTTTGCCAAGCGCTGCTGCTTGCCCACAAAGTGCGTGTAAGCGGTCGGTAAGTAGTTTTAAAAAAAAAAAAAAAGACCCTTAAACATTTTATTTTTAATTTCCCAATATGGTATTTTTTATTTTATTTTTTACCATAGTAACATTTTACTACTGGGGTGTAAGGTGATCAGGGTTTTTTTTTTTTTTCTTACCCTTTGCTTTGTAGGAGAGATAAAGATCATTTCTCCTGCAATGCAAAGCTTGCTGTCATGAATCTAACTCATTCATGAACTGTCATCAATGAGTTAGGTTTTTGATAGTTCAAGATAGTGATCTGTGATTGGCTGGAGCTGGTCAAATGATACAGGGTGCTGTGATTGGCCCCCATGTATCATGTGACAGCTGTGGGCCAATCACAGCTCACTTGGAAGAGAAGCAGAGCTGTTGGTAATGAGATTGATGCATAACGGCTTTGCTTACATTATGATCATGTGATCGCATAGCAATCACATGATCACTGGGTCCCATTCACCAGGATCTTCATTCCCCTGTGTTGGGGGGGGGGAGTGCGCAGCGCCCCCTTGTGTTAGTACAGACAGAGCGATGTACGTTGCTTTGCCTGCAGCTGCCGCCCGCCCGCAGTACATTCTGGGCAGTCGGGAAGCGGTTAGAGAAAGAAAAAAACAGTAAGTAAACAAATAAAACAAAAAAAACCTGTATCAGTGCTGTGGAGGGGGTGCTGGATAGAGAGGAGGAAAATGCCGCAGGAGTGTGAAGGTCCACTTTAAACCTTCAGCTTCTAATTTCCTGTTGTGGACTGACAACATAATGGAAGGAGATTTACTAAAACTGGAGCATTCAGAATCTCTTGCAGCTGTGCATAGTAACCAATCAACTTCTAACTTCAGCTTGTTCAATCAAAGTGATTCTAAAGGAAATTTATTTTTTTAAAATAACAAACTTGTAATACTTACCTGCTCTGTGCAGTGATTTTGCACAGAGAAGCCCTGATCCTCTTCACTTTGTGTCCTCTGCCAGCAGTACTGGCTCCTCCCACCTGCCGAGTGCCCCTAATAGCAAACCTCTTGCTATGAGGTCACTGTGAGAAGATATTAGATAGATAAGCTAGGCAAACTGATATTAGGCCTTGAGATATGACCCTCAGAATACACGGAACACCTCTGGATTTCAGGCAGGATCAACTGGTATTTTTATGCTTATTAAACAAATATAACAAAAAGCCTCCAATTGTAATTCCGATTGAAAGAAAACAGATAACAGAAGTTCATTGTTAGAGTTTACATACACATTAACTGGTATGGAAGATAATTCTAATAATATCCTGCCAAAATAATCTAAAACTATTATCACCTTCATGCCGTTTACTTCAGATACACATTAAAGGCTGGGATGTAGATGTACATACAGTCATGGCCAAAAATATTGGCACCCCTGCATTTCTGTTAGATAATGCACCACTTCCCCCAGAAAATTGTTGCAGTTACAAATGATTAGGCATTTTCATGTTTGCATGGACTGCACGTACTTATTTATTATTGAGGACTTATTTTATAGCATCTTCTGCTTATTAATTTTTGTACATCTTTTGGGTAAAGGTGTTGATGGTGCTGTGGGGAATTGTGTTTATATAATTTTATTTAGAGAGTGGTTTTTTGATTTTATTTTCATGGTTATTTTTTTTCTTTTCTATTGGTATGACACAAAAAGCCAAATCTGACACATTCCACGCAAATTCGCAAAAAATGGACTGGACAAATTATTGGCACGTTTTTAAAATTGTAAGAAATAATTGCATTCCAAGTTTCTGATGCTCCTGTAATTTTGTGATAAACTCACCTGTATCAACTAACTAGTGCTGACAATATAGAAATTGCACCTGCAATCAGTTAAAATGGTGAACAATTTACTCAACCTTTCTGTTTTATGTCTCTGTGCCACATGGAGCATGGAGAAGAAAAAGAGCAGCAGAGAATTGTCTGAGGATTTGAGAACAAAAAATGTGCAAAAGCATGGGCAATCTCAAGCTTACAAGTCCATCTCCAGAGATCTTAATGTTCCTGTGTCAACTGTGTGCAACATTGTCAAGAAGTTTAAAGAAAAACTGATCAAAGATTGCAACAAAGAATTGTTTGAATGGTGGGTAAAGAGCATTGATCAACTTCCAGACAAATTCAAGCAGACCTTCAAACACAGGGTACAACTGCGTCAGCTCACATTATACGTCACCATCTGAATGAAAAGGGACGCTATGGTAGGAGACCCAGGAGCACCCCACTGATGACACAGAAACATAAAAAAGCCAGACTGGAGTTTGCCAAAACTTACCTGAGGAAGCCAAAATCCTTTTGGGAGAATGTGCTGTGGACAGACAAAATAAAATTACAGCTTTTTGGTAAAGCCCATCATTCTACTGTTTTCAGAAAAAGCAATGAGGCCTTTAAAAAAAGAATATAGTCCCTACAGTCAAACATGGTGGAGGTTCACTGATGTTTTGGGGTTGCTTTGCTGCTTCAGGCACTGGATGTCTTGACCGTGTGCATGGCCATTATGAAATCTGAAGACTACCAAAGAATTCTGGGGTGCAATGTAGGACCCAGTGTCAGAAGGTTGAGTCTCCGTTGAGTCTCCGTCAGAGGTCATGGGTCTTACAGCAGGACTATGACCCAAAGCACATGTCAAAAAAAACCCCAGAAATTGTTTCCGATAAAGAGCTGGAGAGTACTGTACTGGCCTGCAATGACTCCAGATCTCAGTCCCATAGAGCACCTGTGGAGAGATCTCAAAATAGAAGTTGGGAAAAGGAACCCTTCCAATCTGAGAGACCTGGATCAGTTGGTGAAAGAAGAGTGCTCCGAAATTCCAATTGAGAGGTGTAAGAAACTCATTGGTTACAGGAAGCGATTGATTAGTTATTTTTTCCAAGGGGTGTGCTAACAAATATTAAATTGGCAATAATTTTGTCCAGTCCACTTTTGGGGTTTTGTGTCAGATATGGCTTTTTATTTGTTCACTATTTTGTGCCATACCAAAACAAACAAAATAAATAAACATGAGAATGCCTAAACATTTGTAATTGCAATTTGTAATTTTCTGGGGAAAATGGAGCATTATCTGACAAAAATGCAGGGGTGCCAATATTTTTTTGCCATGACTGTGCATATGAACTGCTCTTTCAAATGACTTGTATTTTTGCTTTAAGTGTATAATAATAATAATAATGCATGCACCAAAATTAGCGTATCAGACACAGATACTTGTTCTGTATGATTTATAGCCAATCATGTTCTTTTTTTTATTTCCAGTACAATTACATTGGATATTTTGATTACAAAAAAGAGACAATTCGTAAACTGGGAATGAAAGCCAATACTTGCTCATTTAATCCAGGTGTCTTTGTAGCCAATCTGACTGAGTGGAAGAGACAGAACATTACCAAGCAACTTGAAAAATGGATGCTATTGGATATGACGTGAGTATCTATACACTACCTATACATCCTATTACCCAAACTGAGTAGTACAACCACAGTAAGGAAGGCATATACAACTTCCTATACACAGAGAGCTGTAGTTGTCCACATGATGTTAGAAAAATGTTTGCTTACTGGTTTATAATATAGTTCTTCATATGTAACAACCAGCTGTGGTTGTCTAGGTCCCGAAGCGCAGAAGGGATCATTTTTCAGCAGAAACATGGAAAGCTATTAGCTTTACTTCAGGTACACTCTGGTCGAACATGCTGACATACAGTAGTTTTGGATATGGAACTTCCAACCTGGAAGCGGTTTGTTTGCATCTTCTTTACTTGCACCAGTTGCTCTTGGTCACAATTTGAGGAAGATAAAGGAAAGACTATACAGATTGTAATGGGATAAATGAGCAGTTCATCTTTTGTATTCCATTTCACTCCCTCTAGTGGTAGCCAGGAACGGCTTTTGCAGGATGACACAAAAAAAAAAGATGTACACAATGGGGTAGATTGACTAAAACTAGTACACTCAGAATCGTGTTCAGCTGTGCATGGTATACAATCAGCTTCTTACTTCAGCTTGTTCAGTTAAGCTTTGAAAATAAAACCTGGAAGTTGATTGGTTTCTATGCAGAGCTGCACCCCCAATGCCTACAGGTCCCCCCCGATGTCTGAAACACCAGTTTATTAGCAAAACGAGTACATCTTGCAATCTTTTTTTTTTTTTTTTTTTTGCTATTCTTTACTTTTATGAAGTTTTAGTAAAGAACTTTCAGCAAAAGGCAGAACTCCGAATTGCAGACACACTTGCATGAACACTTAGATATACAATACTCAAGCACAACATACTGTACATTGTGACAACCCTCTGAGTGATAGGGGTTTGTTAGGTTCTGCATTTACAGGAAAACATTCAAGATATCTTGTTTCTTGACTTGCCTACCAATAAAGGATGCCCAGATGGTCATTTTTTACAGGTGAGTATGATGTGGTGTAGTGTGTGCCTAGTCAGTGACTAGAAGAATATTTGTCAGTTGTTGGGAGATTATTGATCATGGGAGCGTAGCAGGGAATTGAGAGGGTGAATAACATGAATGTAGGATAATTAACAACAGGAAAATGAAGTGGCTGAAGTTTAAAAAAAAAAAAAAGGTAGGGGGGTTAGAAGTCAACTGTGTTTCTTATGAATGCCACAGAATAGAACAAGAAAGAATAAGCATATGTATGGAAAGAATACATGATGAAGGTTAAGTGCCCTTTTGTGCACCAACATCCCCACATCCCCTCAGTATACCATAACATTCAGATCCAACAATCATTCACTTCTGATGTGCTGGCTCCGCTGGGCTCTGGACTACTTCTGACATGGGATCAGCCATACTGTGCACATGTGGATCTTTAAGGAAAATGTAATTGAAGGTCCTGTCTTCTTTTAGCCCCACTAAGAGACAATTTTACTGTTGAAGTTGGTGGTAAAGAGCCATGCATTCACAATAGGGTGCCTTCCAGAGGTGAAAATGAGGACTTTGCCTGGTGTGGGCTGCAGCATAACAATGATCAATATGATCTGCAGTCTTGATACATAGGAAAGGTTATGAGGGAGTTAGAAAGCATTTTAAGCTGCAGGTGCATAAAAGTGTAGTTATCCTTTAAATATACATGGGGCACAGCCTACCTACAGTTCTTATTTTCTTTGTGATTTAAAGTACTAGAAACTATAAAGTACACCACTTTACATCAGGATGAGATGGGTTGATTATACTGTAGTAACTTCCAACCCTTCATTGCTTCCATATTACACTTATGTCCAGATTTTGTTTTAATCCTGCAGGAAGGTTGTGTTACGTTAAACTGTCATTATGTATCAGAAATGTGTTGCTAAGTAAGACACTCATGTGAGTTTTTCCTGGCTTCTAGTGAAGAACTATATAGCAAGACCCTGGCTGGCAGCATTACTGCACCCCCACTCCTTTATTGTCTTCTACAAGATGCACTCTAGCATTGATCCTATGTGGCACGTCAGGCACTTGGGTAAGGCGAATATCCGCGGGAAGATGAGATGTTTGATGAACTCTGTGCATTTGTAAATCATCTTTGGAGAAAATTAAAAATGTAAACTTTGTTATTCCTTGCTGTGCTCCACCTGCCTTGGAGTCTCATTCTTCCTGTATTTCCCAGGAAGCGGGAGATCCCCTTATATTGGCTGCCACACTTCTAACAGTTGTGGCTGGAGTAGGTACTCCAATACTCATACAGGGCAGCTGGGGCAGGGGAGGTAGTGTTGGCATACAGGGCGGCAAGGGAGCCCTGAACAGGTAAGTAGCAGCTGGTGGGGCGACAAATGAACCTGTTAATTTGCCTTAAATGGGCAAAATATAGGTTTGATTTAAGTTGTGCGTTTTCCATGTAGTAGTTACTGGCTCTATTCCTGTGCCCTTAAATACTTGGGTGGGTTCTTGCAACTTTTGTTGGTGCTCCTCTTGCTTGTTCCATAATAAAAAGTGAATTGAAAAAAAAGTCTCCTCACAATAACTGCTGCAAAGTTCTAAGACTGGCCATAGATTATGCAGGTTTCTTTCCTTCATCCACGGGTGGAAGGGAAGAAAATTGCTCGCTTCTCCCATCAACATATTCGGTGTTCATGGGGGAATCCCTCTTGCTGCACTATTGTATACTGACAACAGCAGGCTTCCCAGTCGTCAGTACAATGATCACTGCCGGCGGTTATAGCCACCGACAGTGTTCATACGAAAAAACCCGACACGCTGGTTGTACTGAAATTAACCGATAGTACAACAAGCTTGGCAATAGATCGAAATTTGGCAGGTTCAGCAGGAATTTCGATCTATCTATGGGCAGCTTAAGCTATAAGAAGCATTTGGTGATTTAACACACCAGTAACTATAAATAAACAGAAATTACTTTAGGTAGACTGATCATTCATGAGGGACTGCAGTTTAAAGTATTCCTGGCTACACACATTACAATATTACTGCAAAATCGCCAGCGAGTAATCACCTGCCGGGACTGGGTGATTGACAGCCGCAGCCACAAATGGTGGTGCAGGTAGGGCGCGCGCGTGCCCCCCCCCCTACCTGGAAATGCGAAATCACTAATATATATGTGATTTTCCACACAGCTGTCGCCCTGTCACAGTATTTCTGCTATGGGGCGGAGCTGAAGCAATTAATGGTGATTGGAGGATTGGATTGCAGGTCATCTTGACCAATTTTTTAATATAATTATGATCTCAATAAAGCTTAATGGTTTGGTTAAACTGCAGTTGGTCCTCCTTTAAAGCCTCTTCAAGTGTGGACTCTCTTGGTCCCCCATATGTTTTTTTTTTTCTATATTTAAAACTAATTTCCCTTTAAAAATGATAGTTGCTTGGTGGTCTCTGACTTCAGTACTTTGTAAACTGCATTCTTGTTCTAAGTCAGTTACTCAAACTAAATCAGAACTCCTTGATTGGCATACCTGTTTTAGGTCTGTGTTGCAGAAAGTGGTAAAGCCATTAGATCAGCATGACAACCAGATAATTATAATTTTGTAGAAGGAGATGGCAAATCCATATTCTGTCAGTTCCGGTTTCATTTAAACTGAACCTGTGCCCAGACTAATGCACATTAAAGTATTTATGTATTGTAAACAAGCAGCAAAAGCAATTTAAAACAACTTAATTCTTCTCTGTAGCTATAGGCATTTTGAAGAAGTGAATCTTTCACAACAGAAGCACTTAAATTTCAGCCCTGCCATAATGCTCCCATATTCTATGGGAATTGGTTTCTACAGATGCAGGAGTTATAGAATTGCAGAGGGAAATCTGAAGGCAGTAATTTTTTAGAGGTTTGACACTTGTTAGCATCGGTTACTACCTATCGTTTTCATTTTTAGTTTATTCTCTGTTCTACAAAATGTCTTATAATTTTTTTTTAACAAAAAACAAACAACAAGCATGTCTATACTTACCTGCTGTGTGCAGTGGTTTTGCACAGAGCAGCCCGTATCCTCCTCTTCTCGGATCCCCTGCCCCCTCCCTCCTGTTGGGTGCACCCACAGCAAGAAGCTTGCTATGAGGGCACCCTCTGCTCCTTGTATCAATTCACACATGGAGTTGTGGCTTGGTCCTGCCCCCTCTCTCTCATTGGCTCACTGGCTGTGATTGACAGCAGTGGGAGCCAGGCTCCTGCTTATGTCTCAGCCAATGAGGAGAAGGAGTCCCGAGATAACCAAGACCCCAGTGCACATCACTGGATTGAGAGGGGTCCTAGGTGAGTATTTGGGGGGGGGGATGCTGCACAAGGAATGTTTTTTTTTACGTTCATATATAGAATACATGAAGGTAAACAACCTTGAGCCTTTAGAACCACATTAAGGTGGAAAAAAAAACCTCATCCAAAAAAATTCTGTATTTGGAAAATATGCCATGCTAAATGCAATAAACTAATCTGGTCTAGTGCATAAAATCATGTACTGTATGTTCAAGTGCCTATCATACATAACAAAGTGTAAAACATAAATAAAATAAATCCACAATTTGTTTATAAATCAGATACATAGTAACAAATCAACAAGTATTAACATAGAGAATCAAAACCTTGAAGGCCATATATTGTAAATAAAGAAGTGTCCATAAATTACATCTTACAATATCCTTACAATACCACTGCACAGAGCATTTAAGTTTGGCATCTTTAAAAAAAAAAAAAAAAAAAAAAACAGGTTTAAATCACTTTATGTGATGTTTTCCTGCAGTTATTAGATGAGCCTGATGGGTTTTTTAATACATGTGAATGTAACTTTTATCTTTATAATAAAGCTGTTGGATATTATGGAGAGTACTATAGCTTCCTTTCTATATAATGCTGGGAGATCTGTGTATCGAGTGAGCTGAACCTGTCTATTTGTATAGCCCTTCATGCTTTGCCTGACCTTTTGATATAAAGATCTGTTTAAGACGATGAGAGCATGCCCTACAGGGGAAGGTGGAGGTCACAATCTCTTTGGCACCACTGTATATCTAACTTAACCTCCCTGGAGGTATTCCCAAGTGTAGCTCCGGGTAAAATTTCAGTACCACAAGTGGTAACCCCGAGCTACACTCGGGCTTACCATGCGGCGTTGTTCAGGGATTCCCTGCAGCGCTTACCTTGTCCTTCGCTCCCGCGATGTGTCCCCTACAGTGTCCCCAGCCATCTCCTCCGGCCGATGCCAGCATCCAGGTTCCGTGTTCCTGTCCCTGTGATGACAGGACGTACGGGCGCCGGAACCGGCGGCAAATTTGAACGTTTTAAAAAAAATGTCATTTTTTTTTTTTAAAAACGAATATTACATAGCAAAACATTGCTGTTTCAAAGCATTTCACATACATTTTGTCCCTACTGCTTTGTCCTGTGCCCTGCCTGCATTTTGACTGTTCTTTCTGCCTGGAAACTGGGAAAAGTCCATGGCGTTCAAAAAGCGTCCCTTTAGGTCAAAATCAGTTTTAGACCAGCTAGAGAACAGCGATAGTAAATTAGAACCACTTGCAGAATTGAGTGATAATGATTCGTGGGGAAATTCATCATCAGACACTGAAAATAATTCTGCGACTTTGCTTCAGTGATGTGCGAACTTGGCGCTATATTTCAAATTTCAGTGTTTTTGGTTTGATTATATTATTGAATTAAATTTTTTATTATATTATTTTTTATGATTATTAAATTATAATTTATGATTTCGTGTTTCAAGTTTTATCATATCCTGAATGTTTACTAGACTCTTGTTTGGACAGATTTCAGTGAGTTATTTCTAAAAATGACAGGCCTACAATAAAAAAAACTATATATTTCCATGCAAAATAATGGTACGCTTTCAGCACCAAAAATCTGAAATAATCATACCGCTAGGGAGGTTAACAAGAATATTAGAGGTTGTAATGTATGGACCCTGTCATTTGTTTACAATACTGTATATTGCCTTCAAAGTTTTGATTCCCTGTTTTCATGCTTGGTGATTTATTATTGTGTTTTGAGTTTTATATTCATGTGATACACAATTTGAGGATTTATTTTATGTAGTACATATTTTTATTAATTATTGCATTTGGTGATATATAATAGGTACTTGAATATACAGTATATGATTTGATGCACTAGATAGGATTGATTTATTTTGCATTTTTTATCACAGCATATATTACAAATACACATATTCTCTGTTCTAATTAAAGTTTTGGGGCATTGTAGTGACTCCTAACTTTCTTTCAGCCTGCAGCTCTGGTAAAATCAATTTAAAAAGGGGCAACATTTATTGTCCTATCCAAATATGCTATGGCACAACTTTTTTCTTTTACTCTGAACAATTATTTAATCACTCACATATTTGTACTCCTTTGTACAGGTTCAAGTACTGGGAAGCGTTATTCTCTTCAGTTTGTGAATGCTGCCAGGCTTCTTCATTGGAATGGACATTTTAAACCATGGGGAAGAGCATCCTCATACTCTGAGATCTGGGAGAATTGGTACGTTCCAGACCCTACTGGGAAGTTTCAGCTCATCAGGAGACACACAGATACTGATGAAAGGAAGTGAGGGGAGATGGCCCATCCAGAAATCACATGAACTCTTGTTACTGGACTTATTATTGAGCATTGAAAAAGCAGTATTTTCTCAGGAAATCAAAAACAAAAGCCATTTTTTCTTTTGTCTTTTTGAGATACACTACAGACTATATTCCATGTTATGTATATTAGTATTTGTTCTAAATATGCTATGAATCTATTTATCTGAATGATTTCAGTTTCAGCATCTAGTCATATTGGTGATCAAACACTCCAGAATAATTCCGTCTCCAGTACCAGTCTCATGGTTTGCCTAAAGGACACAGGTGTTGTAATTTGTATTACAGCTATTCCAGTGAACTCATTTGTGTGTTCCAAGGCTGTGACCTTATGATGCTTTAAGAGGGGGAATTCATATTTTAGCCACTAAAAGGGGGGAAACAGAAAAAAAAACACTGCCAGTATCCCAATCAGCTCAGCATTGCCAGGATTTAAAACATGGAATATGGTATTAGGGCAGGACATACTTTCTTGTAATATACTGTAAGATTATGCTTGCAGTACTTTAAGATGGTCAAAGCTATATTTTGTAGAGTCAGTGTATGTCTGAGTCAAATTTAAAATTGCATAGTCTGCCAGTTGTGAGAGAATTAATAGGATTGTGCCTCGGATATGCTGATCCGCTAATGGCCTAATTCACACAGGCTTTGGCAACCAAACTTGACGTTTCCATGATAGGGCAATTGTTTTTTTGCGCCCTGCAAGTCTCTACCCCAACGCAACATGCAGGCAGGGCTGATGGATCCCATAATGGAAAGGATAGAAGTATATTTAGAAAAGTCCATCCCAAAATATATTGATATATATTTGAAATTGCTCCCAATTCTGGGCCATATTTATTACTGCATGTTTGAAATGCATTTTTTAATACAACAATAGATGAAAATCTAATTTAAAAAGAATAACATTACAATATAAACAGTTTGTCTTTAAAAAATTACAAATCTACTACATTTTTTGGAATGCAAATTTACACAAATCTTGGGTATAAACAAAAAAAATATATTGTTAAAAATGACTTTTTTTTTTTTTATATTATATATATGTAAAAAAAAATCTGGAAGAAATATGTATTAAAAAATAATATATATATTTTTAAAAATATTTTTTAAAATATATATCTTCAGATTTTTTTTAACATATAAAAAAATATCATTTTAACACATATGAGTGTAAAATGCATTCCACAAAATGTAGATTTTGTAATTGTTTTAAAGACCAGTACATTGGAAAATGTAGATTTTTAAAAAATATCTTTTCATATATTTTTGTATATATAACGCATTTTCAGAATATTGTGTGTATGTATATGTGTATGTGTTGATATATATCAATTATATATTGAATATGGCCAATATTGTAGCATTTCAAACTGTATGGGCAACTACTATTGGGGAAGAATATTTTTTAAATTAGATTCAAATATATGTTTCTTCCATGTGGGTGTGAATGCAGACTCCGAGCCTTGACATGCATGTGATATGCAGATTTGTACTGCATGGATGCAGAACAGTGTGTGTTTCTGGGCTACATACCCGCTCCAGCACAGGCAGTTGTAACTGCATGGTAAGAAGACAGCTGTGTGCTAGTCATGGTGCTTACATACCGCTCTATGCACAACTTCCACATTTTGGGACATGTTGCTGGGTTCATGCTCTAACCAACAAACCTTTGCACGAATAAAGTTTGGGGAGATACATGAGACGAGTGCCCATCACCTGCACAGCAAAAATATGGACATTTTGATGAGCTACACTAATTGAAACTTACACCTATTTCACATGTTGTGTCTTATTCAGTGTAAGGGCTAATGCAAAGAGCATGGAGCCCTCATGAAAACCAATTCGGATTTTGATTTTCTCTATTGTTAGAATTGCATATACAATTAGTAGCACTATGTATGTCCTTGCTGAAAGTTCTTATTTACTATGCTGCACTAGCTACAATTATGGCCCACAAAACATCTCCTTTTACTGTGGGCGGCAATGGTTTCCCCTTTTAATAGTGCTCAATAGTGGGATCATGTATAGGCATGATATAGTTTGTGAAGCAGTGTTACAACTTTTTGTCATTTAGTATCCGGATCTGCTGCTAGTATGATTTATGCAATACAATGAGTCAAGCGTTTGATGCGATCATAGGTTTGTGAATAGACAGTGTTACGCTTTTTGTTCGTTATATCCGGATTCTCTGCTGTAGTTGAGTTATGCAAACAATGGAGTTCAAGCGGTTGAGTAGTTTCTTGTTTTGTACAGCTGCATATTTGTTTACAGTGTTTAAAGCCCACTTTTTAGCTGGGATTTGTTGCCTTGGAAAATTTACTGTCTCGAAAGAAATTTTCTGTTTTCTAACATCTGTTGCACGCTGGTTTACTACTTTAAGAAGCAGAACCTGTGCAGTTTTGGATAGAGTTACAAAATTGTTCCAAATCCCTTATCAGTTTTTTTTTTTTGTCTTTTTATGTCCTGCTGGAGAAGAATTCCATCCACACTACTTACTGCTTGAAGACCAAAACAAAAATAGAAGTGTGGAAGGAAAATTTTTTTTTCTTAGAATAAGATGTCAGCAGAAACTGATCTAACAATTGAGAAGATTTAACTCTGGCTCGTTGCTCTCTAAAAACTAAAGTGGTTTTAAAGTCAACATATATAATTTTTTACAATTATCCCCTCTGTTTTAGGAAAATCATATCAAGTACAGTTATTTTGTTGTTTTTAATATTAGAATCCTAAATACATTTCTTTGCACAGTGCTGTTCTCCTTCCTGATATCTAAGGGGCGAGTACAGTTGGTGAGGGGCTGACACAAAGAGTTTCCGTCTAACAATGCAAGCTAGTAGCATGGAGGACATTGTGGACCACACAGCTGCACTGTACAAAGAAAGGTATGTAGTAATGTATGTGATAATTTCACATAAAAAACCTCACTAAATACGTTGAATATGTTCCCTAAAACAAAGGAGAAATAGAAGTACAGTCATAGGGGAATAGAGGCAGGGGGCGGAGGGTTCGGAGGCGAGCGTAGATTGCGCTCAGAGCAATTGGGACTAAACAAGAAATGACAGAGATGAGCGGGGAAGATAGGGGAGATGCAAGAGACTCGAAACACACAGCGGCATTGGACAAGAGAGACCTAAACAGATAGAACCCCACTATTATGGATCAGCAGCCCATGATCAAGTGTGGACCATAACTACACATAGGGGTAAACCAGGAAACAGGTATGGAATCAACCAGAAATTGTAGAACAAAGTAATATAGGACAGGTGGACATTGCAGAAACATTGTGCTATATGTCAAATAATTTTTTTTCGGATATTTACTACAAGTCCTATTGTGGTATTTTGGTTCCGTTGTCGACATTGATTTTGGTTCCACCCACGCCGGCATCTTCAGTGGTGGATACCCAGCTGTGATCTAGCTTGCGGATTCATACAGCCAGGTAACCCACTGGCGCATATGCCGCAAGGTAAGCGCTGCACATCGAAATGGTCTATAGTCACTTCTGGGACCTGTTCACAATGTCCCAAAAGACTACATAGTCATGGAGGGAGGCACACCTTCCGATTGCTTAGGGGCGATTTCAGACCGGAAAGTGGGAGCGGGTACCTGTCCAAATTCGCGGGTACCCACTCCCCTCACCGCCTCAAAGGGCGTGCTAATCTATTAATGGGGAACGAGAGTGAGCAGTCCCTTAAAGCTGAGATACTACCTCAAAAGGGGGAATTATCCGCTTTATAGTGCTTGGATCTTGATCAGATTTTCCTTCCAAACAAGGTACCTTACAGGGCATGCCATTTATCGAGTAGCTGCCATCGTGAGGGCAACCTTCTTGAACTCCAGACATTCGGAAAAGACAAAGGATAACCACTGTACACTTCTCGCTCTGGGGATTCTAAAGCGATACAATCCCGCTAAGGACTCCCGGCACCTCAAACGAGGTAGGATGCACGCTTCCAGCCTCACCTTTATTAAGTGTGCGGGGGTAGTCATCTGTTTGCAAATCGCTGTCGTTTCTCATGTTCACTGTTCCAACAAAAGACAATAACCTCACTTCTGGACCTAAAAAACCCTGACCACCTTCTTAAAGGTGTGCAGGTTTCATATGCAGTCAGTTCGCTCCATGATAGCCTCATTACATCAAGGAGCTTTCTTTTGCCTCAGTCATTCTCAAGACACTTACCTTCACATCCCCATTTGCTGCAATAGCCATGGTTTTCCTTCGGTTTGTGGTAGAAGAGATTGCATTACCAATTTGTTGTCTTGCCCTTTTGTCTGGTGTCAGCGCCACTTGTTCTTCCACTTAGACGCTAAATCCAATCTTAGCTGTTGTTTTATGCCTACACAGGATAGCAATGGTGGGACTACCTGGACGACCTGCTCCTGCAAGTAGCACATTCAGCATCGGAGCTCAAATGAGATCTGTCCATCACAATCAAGACTTTGGAGGAATTCTATCTCTCCCGTCACTTACTATCACTTCGCTCTTTACGTCTGGGGGGGAAAAAATAAATTTAATCTTTCAAACACAGGTTTCTTTGCACAGTGAGAGCTAGTGAAAAATTGTGGAATAGGACTCCCTTGAGGGTTGTTTCTGGCCAGCTCCATGGATTGTACTTTAGAAAAGGGCCTGGATTATTTCATAGATACACAGAATATAACTGGTATACTAACATTTATAGGTAAAGTTGATCCCCAGGGAATATCTGATTGCCTGTTGGGGGATCAGGAAGGAATTTCTTTTTCCCTGCAGGAGCAAAATTGGGTCATGCTTTGCTGGGGCGTTTTTTTGCCTTCCTCTGGATCAACTTGTGGGTGTAGGATTACAAACTTTTTTTTTTTAATGGTTTGAACTGGATGACCTTTTTTCTTTTTTTTAGCCAGACTAACTACTGTAATTTTAAGAGTACCTGGAACTCATTCTGGACACCACTAGTGGGCAGAATATTTCTTCTGCCAAACAATTTCCAAA